TAAATAATTTATTAATCGCCCCCGTCGTATCTTTCTCTTTTGCGGGCTATACTGCTATACGATGGAATCCGCGTCATCCGTCTCCCCTTACAAAAGCCTTGCCGTATTATATATACATATATACCCCGAACCACCCGCCGTGTATATATTTATATATATATATATACCATCTACCCGTCCGCGGAATAAATCTCCATTTAAGTAACAAACGTCTGTGAGAGCGATGCTATTATAGCGTCCAATTATGCGCAATTATTTGACCATACCAAATCCGTATTCCAGCAGCAGCAAGCTGGTGTGATAAACCCCGCAAACACCGTTTTACGGCTAACGGCCCAGGGACGAATAAAAAATTCTACCACCTTTTACTCAGTTATAAAATAATATAATGAATACCGTGGTTCTACAAAAACCATCAACGATTTAATTAGGATTTAATATTGTTACATATACACACAACACACCACACATGATGTATTATTGTTTTGGAAACGAATTTATAGGACGTACCGTTGTTTCGTTGCTATTTTTGGTAGCTGTAGGTTCGTTGAGAGATGCAGCTGGGATGGATCTAGGAGCCCCATTGCACAGGCTTTTCCAGAACTCAGAGACATATACCAGTATACCACACACGTACATAATTCCAATATTTTTTTTTAAGAGAACGTGATACCTGCATGTGGTGTCTTCGTCTTACAAGTGCATAACATGTCAAATTTTACGCTCAGTAAAACACTTGTAGCTCCGTTAATTTAAAAATTAGAGTAAATTAACCTCTTATACAATTTTAAGGTAAGATTATTATCTAGACAAACTCATTGCTTTTTATAATATTTTAATTTTTAAGCTAGTTATGAGTACTTTAAGATCTATAAACAATTTACAATTTTAAAATACTCATAGCTTGCTTAAAAATTAAAATATTATAAAAAGCAAATGAGGTTGTCTAGATAATAATCTTACCTTTAGATTTTATAAGAGGTCTATTCACTCTAATTTTTAAACTAACAGAGCTACGCGTGTTCTGCTTTGAGTATAATTTGCTATGTTACTCAATTATGAGACGGAGACAATACACATGCGGGTATCACGTCCTCTTAAAGAAATTTATAATTTTAGATTCTGAGTGGAGCGAGGAAGCTATAATGGTTTACAATGGTGTTTTTTTTTCTTTTTATATCCTAATCAAAAAGTATCAAAGAGTATCAAAATATTGTGATGATACCTATCTACTTTGTCATGACTCATGACTATACCTACACTTATATTATTATAAGCTATCAAAAAAAAAAAACTATTCCTAATAAGTAATCTTGGAATATACAGGTACGAATAATGTACCTATATATATTTTTTTAGCACCTAACTTTAGGTAAATATAGTACACACATACCTAGTTAAAATTAATTCATTTTTCACAATTTGTGTGACAATATACGTAGTATGAAGTTAAAATACAAATTAAATAGGAAATTTTCAAATATCCAACATTGTAATAAATTATTATGATTGTTATATTATTATTATTATTTCAAATGTTTGCTTAAAAACAACATTGTTTAACATACTTAGTAGCCTGACATGAACTTTATTATATAATTTACTATTTCATAAATATATCTAGTTTGTTAGGTTAGGCTGTTCCTGTTACTGCTTTACAAACATAAGGAAATTATTATTATATAGCAGCTAATATATAAACCAACAATCGTCACAGTAGTAATTTTACTACCGAGTGGAAAATAACTGAATAAACACTTAAGACTCAGAAAAAAAATATTTTATAACATTACGTATTTTATGTGAATATACTACAGTATAATATAACTACGTTAGGTGACTATTTTAGGTGTAGCCGTGTAGGCATCTATACTATCTATATTATAGTATAGACGTATAGTATAATAACTATTATAATATTGTCGTATACGGTACCTATACTTTGCCAAAAAGTAATATGTTAAATCCGTATTCATATACAACATATAACATAATAATAATATTGTAGGTACCTACCTATTATGAAAATCAAATTAATAAAACCTTCTTTATACATGATCATTGATCATGTGGTTAAGTCAGAATTGTCATTAAATAGAATAGCCAGAATAGCAATTTATATATATTATAATATATTAATATATTATATACCTACGATTCTATATTATTAGTATTTTGGTTTTAAATTCGTAAATTAAAATAAATACAGTGTACTGTGTATGAAACAATATTTTTTTTTTATTTTTTTTTTTTTTTAAACCTTTATGTCCCGCTGATATATGTACCTTTTTATTTTAACTGTACGTGTCGACTGTTACATAGGTTGCGGTCATTAATTTATTATTGATCGGTTTTCTATACCTGCAACCTGCTATGCCACCATAGATACGTAACTGAAATAACCCTCGTCATATAATGACAAACTCTATTGTTTAGTGTTTATTACACAAAGTTCTAGGGTAATAGTATATAAGAAAATATTTAGACTTAACTTATTTATATTTTTATACTTAGTTTATATATTTTAAAATTAAATAATCTTAGAAGTTTTTTTTTTTTTATTATTATCACCTTTTTTCATTTTAAACGTTGATTTATCGCAAAAATATAAAATGCTAATTGGTATACTAATATAAAATATAAAATTGAATGAAATGTTATGAAATGTTTGTAAATAATATACATTATAGATGTGCATACATTTATTATTCACGTAGGTATATAGATGTTAAAATATAATAACCAACAATTATCAAGTTTTTTATTTTATATTTAATAAATTTAAATTCAATTAGACGTAAATTATTGTATTCTCAACGAAATGATGAAAGATTTATTTATCATGACGTCTTTTTACTTTTGTCTATAGCGAAATTGAAATTTGATCCTTATGACAACATTACTATAATAGTTACCTGTATATAGTAGGTATAATATTATATAAACTTTATAAAACGCATATTATTTAAGAAAACATACTATAGTGTACAATATACTTATTATTATCTCTCCATTACGATATAATAGCGGGTACCTATCCATGGTTATACATTTTTAAGGATAGTTTTCATTTATTCATGCCATTATTATTGTTTATAAAACGACATAATTTATACCTTACGAATCATTTGGCTTATCTATATAATTGGTCCAATAGCAAATAGACGTTATGATATGCTGCAGAACATAATAAAAAAATTGAGAAATTGATGATAATTATAATGGAAACCATAAAAACCTGATGCAGGTGCGTTTGATATTACGAACGAGCGCGCGGACACATATATACACATTATTACGTAATACGTAGGTACTAATTGACGCAATTACATTAATTACTTAGGATTTTAATTTTGTACATTTCCCCCTCCTCGTGTATATCTATATTTACAGTTATATTATATTATAAGTGGACACAAAAGTTTTTTATTTGTATTTTACCTCAGCAAAGTAATAACAACTGCTGTGTCAAAACAGTGCAGCGCACATATATTATATACATGTATAATACTGTATGGCATTACGGTCGGCGGGTTGTGGTAATTATTTTGCGTATACGACCGTCTGTCAAGTACTAACTGAATTTTGAAGCGAAGTCTCCCTCGTCCCCGGCCCCGTGCGCGTTACGAGTACGCGCGTAATGCAACACACGTGCGAGTGATTATCACATCACCGAAGCTTGGACGTTCCAAGTGGGAAAATGACACGTGACGCAAATCCAGCCGCCGCCACCATATTATAATATATATATAGGGCATAGGCACTACCACTATAATATAACGGAAACCCCTTTTCGTGTCACTGTACGTTTGATTTATGCACAATTTAGCCGAGTACGATATATATACCTATTATAAAATATATTATATAGTTGTAAAACTTCTCTGGCGTTGTGTTATAAACGTACCTCTATAATATAGTTATTATACGGCGTATAATCAGTATAGAGCTTCTTTTCATATCTTCCAAATATAATATTATGTATGGCGTAGGTGTACCCACCTCCATAGGTATAATTTTTAAGATTATGCTACAACATTTTACCGATAGATACCCATGTGATGATGTCGAAACACACCGCTTGACAAAAAGAACAACAATAAACTTGCGATTGATTCAAGTTGAAAAAAGTGAATATTTAATCTTCGTTTGTGTGGATACCGATTCTATTTAAACACCCGAATTTCCTAATATTTTTATATTTCTCTAAATAAACATTAAATATTTAATTTCTACGATAACTAAAGTAAACTGTATAATGATACAGATTTATGTCAATGTCTACCTATATATACGAGTGACATTTATTAACATTCAAGGATAAGTATAATATTGTTTAATGTTTATACAATATTTGAATACCAGTACCTACCTATACGGCTATACCTATAGGCTATAAATATTAATAGATTAATAAAATAAGAAAATATCTGTTAAATTATTGATTTCTGTGTTATAAACTTTTTGTATATTTATAGTAAAAAGAATCATTACTTATTAGTTATTGGAAGCTCGGTTAGTGTATAAAACTATAAACTATATAGGTATACTATTGCTGAAAACATTCTTATTAGATTTTTCAAAATTGGTTTACTTTGACATACAAATGAGTAGTGAAATGACTGTTGTACTTATATTGTTGTTAACTATTTAAAGATAATGAACTATGAAGTGCATGTATATACTATAAATTCAAAATTGTGTGGTTAATTGTTAAACATAACAACAATATAATATAAAGAAAAATATGCTTGAAATAATTAATAATTCAAAAACAAAATATTTAAAAATATTAATGAAAAAACGTTTGAAATATCTCATTCGTTAGGTTGCGTTTTTGAAAGTTCCATATAATATATAAAATATGTTCATGTATTATATAATATATCACAGACTTAAAAAAAATATATGTGTATATAACAATATTTTAAGTTTTTATATATATTATGGGTCTTATCCAAGTATTTCTGAAAATCTAACCATAGTTTTCGTATTTTCAGAGCCGGATCCTAGAGGATGCGTCCTCATTCATGTGCAACACCTGGTCTCCACGACACAATGTACGTTTTCTTTATAACAGCTTTATGTACTACATCTTAATTTCGTAGAAATTATTCATTAAACAGCTTCGATAAACGTACTTAATATTAAATATGTAGATATCGTGTTTAGCGTTTACCTCTATCATATTACTGCTTATAGGTAGATACTAGATAGACTTTATGAAGGTTTACGGGATAAGAAATGTGTAGGTACCCTTTAACAAATCTAAAAATTAATTTCTCAGTACAATAAATTTAGATTGTATTTAGTAATTACAGCTTTATACCTACCAACCTATACCTACATCAGTTTGTCAAGAATCTTTAGATGAGGTTTATTCTTTCAGTTGTCAAGAAAGGCGAGTTTTATATAATCGACTTAGCACTTGTTGAGAAAGTTTTTTTCCTTCTTTTTGTTAAAAGCGGTCCTAAACGTTGCAGACAGTATTGTATTAAAGTGAACATTAATAAGAACCGTATTTTTTCTTTCTTCGCTTAGTCGAGGGTGTCTTTTTTCTTTATGTTTTTTTTTTAAACATTTTTTTTTAAATTCTCTCATTCTTGCTGCAAAGACGAAACAATTTAGCCGACACATTAAAAAAAAGTCCCTCGAGTGAGAACAAAACTCCCGAGAGTAAAAATGAGGGAGGATGAAGACTATAAACTAAAAATCATCAACGAAATGCAAGGCTTTTTGGTTTTCGTCGTTGCAAAGTGGCTTCGGGAACAGGAATTAAAAGGACTTTATTCGGTGGACCGAGCGACGGCCGGGGTAGAGAACACACAAGCGGCCTTAAAACCGTCCCATTCGTGGCTCCGGTAAATAATAAATGAGCCCCCGGTCGTATCCACCCCCTCTATTCTGCACGCATCTACTAACTATGCCGGATACGTGAGGCAGAATTTCGCCGATGCCTTAATACCAAGAGAAAACGTTTCGGAAAGCTCCTCTATATATCGAGCACACCGGAGATAATGTCTAAATAGCACTATATACGATTCACATTCGTTAGTCCGATTACACAAGGACGGATTCATAAATCTCCTCTTGGGATTTCTTTGCGTTGAAGTATTGAACTCAACTGAGTATAATAATATACTGACTAGGTATGCATCAACAACATATATCCATAATATGCATAATATACACTTGTTTGCAAACACCCAAAGCCAATTAATTAATTAATTAAAATTGTTATAGGTTTCTATAATAATTGAAAAATTCATAAAAATTATTTAAAAAAAATAAGAATAAAGACCGAAAATATTATTCTAAATTAGTAATTAGTAGTATACCATTTTATACACCTGAATACATACTTTAATGCGGATAGTAAGCAATTAAAAATTAAAATTATACTATTTATTTATATTTCCACGTTGTTATACAGTAATATGGAACCTATATAATATAAAAACTATATTTAGTACTGAAATAGTATACAAACATAAAAGTTCTACAGTAAGAATAAAAAAAATTGTCCTAATTAAATTAAATACATTTTTGTTTGTACGTACATATTATATTAAACATTATCAAATCGTTAAAAATCCAATATTGTTTGATGTTTGATTAAAATATAAATATGCATTATTAACAATCATAATTGTACGTTAAAAATAAAACTATTCATACGAGCTATAAACTATATAACTATTAGGTATTATTAATCTCATTATAAGCAAAATTCATTCCAAATAACAAATAAATAAATAAATATAAATACACTTTTACAGAGTATGCTAAACTCTAAAGAAATTATTAATTATATAATAATGTAGTATATTTTACAGTAGGTAGTCGATATTTTATATATCTATACATATATACCCATAATTTTCTCATAAAATATTTCCTCGCATAAATGTAATATCACTAATAAAATTACACCACAAGGGGAGACTCTTGTATGTCTATGGAAAATCGAGGTGATGATGTATGTATAAGGTTGTTTATAAAACACTTTTCTTTAAGACCGATCGCGGAGGTAAAAAAGTACGATCTAGTAAATCATAAATATTTCATGAATAGCGCTCGTCGCCACGCTTTTACCCTACAGCTCAACTTTGGCATACATCGAGTTCGATCGATGCCGATCGACGGTTTATTATACATATATAGGTATATATGTAATATATATACCTATATTTCAAAGTACCCTAAAAAGTATTTGAAATAAAACCATTTCCATCCATGTTAGACGGTATTAAAATCAAAACAATGCATATCTCCATAATTTAAAGAAAAAAAAATAACACTGTACCTACACCCGTCAGATCAGAATCAGAAATCCCTGGAAGGTGTGTTGCAATTATATAATAATTTATAGTGATTATATTATTTTAATGATATCCAGAAGGTCGTTGCGGTTTACCTCGTATATAAGTTACGATTTATGGTAACATATAATTTTCTCGTTATGCGCACAGTTTGCAAGGGCACCATCTCTTGATGTAACCAGCGCGGGGTCGAAGAGGCGAATATTAATAAACACCTGACATCCCAACTGGCAAAAACAAGGGTTAAACCAAAATATTTATCGTCTCGGTTAGTATACAGTTTAATATATTCCAACTTTGAGTCAATAATAATATTCTTCTTAATAACCTATTGTATCAACGATAGTTAATTTTAGCTATGAATCTGAACTAAAAGATGAATGTATTATATTAATTTTAGAATGATGTATGTTTTTTTTCTTGTCTGTCATCACCTTTTGAAAAATTAAAAATGCTTCAATTTTCTTCAATAACAGCCTATTTTCTGGTAGAAAAGTGAATCTAGTTGGAACTTTGGGAGGAGAGGCATACGTAAAGAATTCCAAAACATTTTCAAAAGCGTCAGAAAAAAACAAACAAAAAATTAAAGAAAAACTGAGAAATTTAAACAAAACCAGTTTTCGAAAAAATTGATTTTGTTATTTAATGTAACTTTAGAAATAGTAACCACAAATACATGCAATTTTCACTGAATATTTATTTTATATTTGCAATTTCTATACATCTTAAAATGTTTGAAATGTTGCGACTATTTTTGAACTATCTATAGGCTTAAGAACATTTCGAGTTTTACTAGTTTTTTTTTTAATACCAACGTAAAAAACTTGAAAATTATATACAATGTTTCTCATAAGTTGTTAGTGGAAATTTTTGAAAAATATTGACCATAAATACACAGTAATTTTTTATTAGCGTCTGAAGTTAAAACTTTGACAAAATACATAAAAATCATAAGAATTAGCAAATTATTTCAAATTAGAAATTCATAATTTCATAATTTGGACCAAAATATATATAAAAACCAAGAATAATGATTTTAATTATTTTGTTGTAATTTATAAATATTATTCATGAGTATACGAAACTTTTAGAGTAAATTATTATATTTTATACACTCAATGACATTTTGAAATATATTTTTTTTGCCAAAAATAAATTCAACCTACTGTTGTACTAATGCTTATTAGTGTAATAAATTACTTTAATCACAATAATGTCATAAAATATACTGAGTAATATTATAGGCTGACAGACAGACCGTCTTCACTCAGAATCCGAGTATCGTTTTTCGTATAATATAATGATTTTATATCATTGGATTCAAATTTAATAACACATCCATTACAATTTATAGTGACTCTCTAGACACCTAATGTACAGCAGCGAGTTACCCACTGACCCTCTTTTTTTTTAATGTAAACACTCTGCGGTATATCATTCTAGTTAAACTGCTTGGCAATGACGATTAAGGGCCAGAAGTTGTACCAGTCTAGTTTAAACTAGAGATTATCTAAACTTGGTTTAAAAATTATACTGACTTTAAAATTTGCTGTGTTGTTCAATGGTAGTTTAGACTATACTTCGATGAGGTCATTAAAATTGTAATTTATAATAATATACTCCCATTACACCGCGCGGTCTCACCACGCTTGCGTTATCTCATCCGTCTGCTGCAACAGGGCTTATGTTATTATTATTATTATATGATGATGCCGCGTGGGTAATAATATTTTCGTAATTACCGGGCGGGTTATGTTAATATATGGTGTACGTGCAAAGCCAGAGCAACAGGAAGCCTATAGCAAAGGCGAAAACAACAAGGTATTTTTACCAATTCGCATAACACTCCACAGTTTTGTAATTTAGTCTATTGTGACTTTTTTCACAAATTCAACTATAAATTCTGTACCTATCTTATAGAAATATTATTTAAATATTTTTTTTTTACTACACAATCTTTGGAATATCATTGTTTATCATGGACTATTTAGATTGGTTTATTGTTTTACCGATTTTAAAAAACAAAATTTTAACATAATTAACTACCTATTGGATTTATTTAATGTTATATTATATAGTATATACTTATCATAATAGATATGCCTATAGAAGTAGAACACAGAAAGTTAATGTAAATTTATTTGTGAAGTGTGCTTTTTCTTGCATTTTATATTCCATATTTTTGGAGGTCTTGAGCATTTTTTCTGTTTTTATATTATGGTCGTACAAAATCCACAAACTTTATCACAATATAGAGAGGTTTTTTTGCCATGTCAAGACCTTTTTAAAAGCTTTTTACAGCTTTATAAACCTTCTAAATTAAACACTACTAAGGAAAAATAAAATAAAAGTAGGAAAATTCGTTTATTTTTATCTGTAATCTTAAATGATGGAACGCATACATTTTATGATGAAATACGATCTTTTATTTTTGGTATGCATATGCATGCAAAAACTGTACCAAAAACACTTACAATAGTTAAAATGAATAGAAAAATGTCTATTCCACTTAACATGTACATCGTATATCTTATATTGTTGATAAATGGCTGATTGATAATTAAATTTAAAAAAGCGTATAGACTTACAGCGACTCCAGATGTCCACAATTTCGACTAAAAACAAATAGAAAAAAATTCCTATTAACAATATATTTGGTGATCACCCATCTAGGAATTAGTGGCACTGGCTGGTGCTTACTCTCAGATCACGTTTCATGACTGATTGCAACCACCACGTCACGCCAAATCACGGTAACTAATTATAAATTGTTTTAAAGTATGTTATATTGTTTAAATTAAAGGTTTGTAAAATGGTCTAACAACAATATTGCATACACACACAAAAAACTAAATTTGAATTTGAAAGCTTACTTTTCTTGGGCAAATTTGTGGCATTAAAATCCATGGAATTGGACCATATCCAATCGAATAAAAAATAATATACATAATGATTAAATTAGGTAACCATAACTCATCGAAACTTTTCATATAATATAATGTGGCAATCACCAAAGATAAAGTGATTGTCATTCCAAGTCCTGAGATGATCAATACATTTTTCTTTCCCAAAATATATATAGTTAATAAACAACAAATTGATGAAATGAGCTAAAAAAGTTTTAAAAAAATAATATAAAAAAAAATGTAACAATAAAATGAAAAAATTAAAACGTCATTGCATTAGAAAAAGATAGGTAGTAAATAATATAGTATTTTAAATACATTATGACGTGTACTTATTGGTGCCTACCATATACTATTATATAATAGGTAAGGACAGAATATTATCAATGTATGATAGTATTTAAAATATTTTATATTATTATTTTTTGTATAATACATATTATAAAATTAAACTAAAATACATTTTTTTCCGTTTATGTGAACACAACGTCCCCCCAAAAAGCCGAGTTAACTGACAACCATGCTGCAATCGATATAAGTGTCCTAATAACACAGAGAAGCGCCAAGGGAGCTCCTATTGAAACTCCGTAAAACTTCTTCTATGAACTCCTAATCAGGATTAAGATGTCTTTGAAAGGCCCAGAGACTATAGTCTGCTGTGCTATTAGTTAGGGTGGTGCTCGATCGGCAAAGTCTCCAGCCGGCAATTGAGCAATAAATAAAATGTCTGAAAGTTTCTACCAACCAATAGGGAAATAACTATATATAATATTCCTGACGTTCGTTAGTAAACCTTCGCCTATATGTACCTACCTATAAAATATACTTAAGTAGTGCATTTTATTGAACTATACTTATAATAAGTGATAATGAACGGTAACAATATGCTAATACTTGGAAACCAGTTATAGTTGATATCATTCCACTTATCGGTAGCTGTTTTCCGTACGCACATTGTAATTTATCCATCAATGAAATGTTACCACTAAATTGTTGGATACTTATTAAACAGATGTTAATTAACAATGGTCGATAATATTGTTTTTTCGTAAAAATCGAAGACAGTTCCATTATTTTGCCGATGTCACGGTATCTTAAAAGCTGAAACGATAAATAAACATTTAATGTCAACCTACCATCACAATTATCCATAGACCATATTATGTTATTGCATTTGTTTACCTTGTGACTACTATTGTTCGATACATCAATACATTTACAATCTGATTCGCTCTTTCGTAAGTTTTCATAAAATATCAATTGAAAACAGGGTGGATCTTCGATAACGCATAATACTATCAAGTTTAAAATTGCCATACCTACAATTCCAACATTCAAATATGAATATGTACAATAATCATCGGCAAAGCGTGACAACATCATACCGCTTAACAAGTATACATGATGCAAACCAGTTAACACGTCTAAATACAATAATAAACATTGTTAAAATAAAGTTAGCAATTAAAATGTATTTGTTTAGTATATACAAATTGTTTAAAAATAAAATTAATTTATACGAAACTAATTATTCTAATTCCTAGGCCTTAGTTAAACTTATTTAGGTATGCGGTATAAAAAGTACAATATATAACACTGTACATTATAATATTAATTTATTCAGCATGTGGAAAGTTTATGCTTGCAGTTATCAATCACTCAATCCGGTATAATATACTTAAAAATATAATTTTTAAAACGTTCCAGTGTCTCAATAAAGATTTAGATTTTTTTTGGCATTCAAACACTTATATAGGTAATGTTAAGTTACATTCATAAATTAACTAAAAAAACTATGGGCACCCTATTAATCAACTATTAATAGCTAGAACAAAAAAACAATGTTTTAAATTATCAAGTATAAAAATACTTAATTATATCTCATATCATTTACGCAGCAGTGCTGCAGGTGGAGTCAAGGAGATAGTTAAGAGGACGCTACACCCGCAGGCCACATGCATTGTCTCCGTCTTACAAAATATACAAAACATAGCAAAAACTGTTTTTCGAGGGACAACTATCCTCTGTATTTATTGTAGAATTACCTATAAATTCCACAACACAAAAGGAAGAACTTTATCTGTGTCGTTTGATAGCACGTACCAATAATTTTTAATAATTAAACGAAAAAAAACAAAAAAAAACCTAATGTTCTCAAACTGATAATTTTAATTGTATTTATGTTATCCAAATAATAAAAACACGACATAGATTAAGTTCTTCCCTATGCGTTGTGTAAATTTGGTAATTCTACCATAAATACAGAGGCAGCATAGTTGTACCAAGCAAGATAGTTTTTGTTAAGATGTGCATTTGTAAGACGGAAACAACGCTTACGGTTGTAGCGTTCTCTTAAAAGCATTTTTTTTTTTGCGTAGCCCTTTGTGCCGTAAGTACAACAAGCATCACGGAACACGTGCGTTTTAAAATATAACATAAAATGTAGATTCAATAAAACACATATTATTAATATTAGTATAGTAGTAATGAGACATGGTCAACAACAAAGGAAATCTGTTGAGGTTTGAGAGAAAGATTCTGAGAAGAATGCATGGTCCTATACGAAACCCAGATAATGGGGAATATGAGTGCAGGAAAAAAACAGACATAGAAAGGCTGTTCAACAAACCAAACATTCAAAGTTTTCTAATATCCAAAAGATTAGAATGGGCTGGGAGAGCGAAGCAAGATCTGATCAATAAAGTTTTAACCAATAATCCATCTGGGAGAAGAGACCGTGTGGACGACCGCGTCAGCGGTGGATGGACCGTATAAAGAATGATATAAAAAGAACAGATCAAACATTAGTAATGGAGGAGGCCGATAACAGGGACCATTGGAGAGTCTTGGTAGAAGCTTTCGCTTTTAAGGAGTGTAAAGCAAAAAAAAAATATAGTAGTAATTCTAGGAGTAGTAATAGTGTTCTCACCTCTGTACTTCGGCTCGGTGATTTCTGCTGCGTAATTGGGCACGATAACACACACAATCCCAGCACCCATGCCGTGTAAGATTCGTCCGGTAATCAGTGTGGACAATGCGTCGGTCGAACACGTCATGAGCACAATCGACCCGCAGAGGGTGAACAATGTCCCGATTGTTAGCACCTCTCTGAGTTTTGTCTGCATCGACGCAATAAGCGCCGCCGGTCCAGCGCTGATAATTGCCCCTCCGTATATGAGAGTTTTCGACATATTTTCCGATGTACTCCAATCGTTTTCCGTTGTCACGTCATCGTCATGCACCGTCCACTCCAAACACATGCCGACCGTTAAAGAACACCCGGACACTTAATAACATAATATACAATCAAAAAAATCTTATAACAATAATTCTCGATTTGTATAACCTTTGAACACGCGTTACCTAGAATAATATATATCATAATATTATATAAGTAGGTACCTATTAATATATCAATGTAGATATACACAGAGAAGAGTGTAAAACCACTTATGCACAGCTATTAAATACAAATTACATATTAATTATTACTAATGATAATGTACATAATATATATTATGTAATACTTAATAAAGTTAATTTACAAATACCTCGACTGAAACTTTTAATATAATCGAAAAAATAAGCAACAGGGACTTTTCTAGTAAAATACTAGAGTAAACAACATTTTAATGAATATTTTGTATTTACCAATTATATTATATTAAAATAAATGTCTTGGACTCTCCTCCGGTATATTGTAGTTTTTTTTAAATAAGTTTATAGAATACGATAAATATTTAATTATTATTATAATTCGTTTTGGAAATGATGAAGATTTTTGAACCATAAAATATAATTACTCTCTACAAACATAATACTCAAAGAGGAGATATAATTATATTAATAATTACATTGCCCAATCCAAAGGGAGTATGGATTCAGTTGTAGTGAGCTACACATAAAATGCAATTTGTAACAATAATACTTATACTTAATTCTCACCTAAAATTGTATAAATAACCTGTCGTAATATACTCTCTTGTATGACAATACTTTCCGACATAATTGTTTTGGTAAACACTTATACACATGTAAATATGTAATGAAATCCAAAACTAACGTTTTTCGCAAATCAATAAATTGAATAATAACAGCTATTAAATCTAAATTATCATTAACCAGAATAGTTATATTTTTTTGTATCACACTATTATTATACTATATTATAGGTGTTTATTATTCTAATAAGCCAAATACTTTTTAAATACATTTTCTTACCTACAATTATTAAATACACGTCTATACGACTATTACAAACGTATATAGGATGGGTATTATGGGTGTATAGCCCATATTATGTATAATAGTTTATAATAGTTTTTGCCAGATAAATTACCTATTTTAGTTAAAAGAAGTCTTTTGAGAAGTTATAAACATTATTAAGTACTCTCATTCCATAATATAAATATGTAATAGATCCAGTTGTATTTTTACTCGTCTTGTAAAGACTACAAATAATATAACCCGATAATCATACTTAACCTTGTATTCTGTTTATTGATATATTAATATAATAATAATTTAATATCTCCAGTTCCATCGTTGGATTCATAATGTGTAAATGTTGAACCACTTTCGAATAAGAAAAATAAATTTGAACTAAATATTTCGAATTATCCCTAGTGTAATTTTGTCTAATTTATGATAATTATTAAACAATAGACGTTACATTTGTATATTTCAAGATAACTACTCATTATACTCATCCATCTGTTGCATGACCACGTTTTATTTAAACTCTTCAGAAAATAAATGTTTAGATACTGCAAGGTCCTTTACAGAACTATAGAACTACATAAGTATTTTTTATTATCTATATAATTTTTCTACATTTGGTGAATTGAAAAAAATGCGTTATTGTCATTTATATATGCCAAGCCTATTTTTAAGAAAATCAATTTTGATTTTTTCGTTATAACTCAATCACAAACTGTGACGATGAGCATTTGGAAAACCTATTCAATTTACTAGTAGGTTATTTGTAAGAGAACTTAAATTTTAAGATAGTATAGATACGATCCATAAACATATAATAAACTACTTTGATCAGAATAATTTCTCAAATAACCTTCAAATGCATAATAAGATATCATTACTGACCTATATCGGAGTGAGTAAAATGTAAGAGTGTCCAGTGGGTTAGGTACTTGTCTTTTTACCCTGTCCAGATTATTATTATTTGCCTAAGTATTATCTTTTTGACGTATATATTTTTCAGACTTTTCATTCATTATTATAATTAAAATCCATCTATCTTTCATGGTAGTTCATGTTATTTTTTATAATACTTTTTCATTTTTTTCAATGACCATATAAAAGAACGAGAGAGTAATGGGATAGCTCATAAATAATTTACGACTAGTCTCTAAAGTCCAGCGCACTTGTCGCACACCCCGAAAAAAAACCCCAGTAAGTAAACTCTATATACTCGTTGACGTCTTCAGTAAACGTCATACTTCTTATCTTGGGCGTCATAAGTAAACTATGATTTTTCTCTTGACGAAAAGCTTTTGCACGCAGTTCAGCATTTATTCCACGCATAGTGAGAAAACGTAACCGCTCAAGACTAAGGATAAAGATTCTTCATTAATATTCAAGTATGGCAAGTTGTTGACTGTCTTCTTCGCATTTTGTATGTCAAAGAAAACATTGCTAAATCATTCTCTCTATTCATCGAAAGCGAATTGAATTCCTTAAAATTAAACAAAAATAACCATTGTAACACGCAAAGTTAATTTTTTTAATTTTTTTTTTCTTAGGGTGACTTATTTGGTGGTCTCAATGACGGTCTACTCAGTAGAGCTGAAGTGCTTGCTGCTGTAGACATGGGAAAGCACCACCATCATCACAATCATCAATCCCCGGGATCTGGTAATGGCAACGGTGGAGGCCAAGGCAATGGATCTTTGGGGCCCGGATCCACTGGATCACCTGGACCGCTCTCTCAGCTCAAGCACGACGTTATGTCGTCATACCACCATCATCATGGAATGTCAGGTGGACACTCAGGTAGCCAATCAAACCATCGAGGTCACCAGGTAAATACATTTATAAACTAGTTATAACTAAGCTAAAGATATGCCGCTTTTAACAATATAAACTTGAACATATATTATTAAACAAGTCATCGAGGCTACTAAAAAATATTAAATATTTTCACTGGGCCTACTGCGAAGTGTATATAATTGCTATTTTATAAGCGTGTCAAAAATTCATCCCTTCCACAATATCGTAAAGTAATTTATTATCATAATATTATACTATAAGACATTTATCATTTATCGGTTTCTTTCTGTAAACCTATATAACGTTTTTAGTTTAATATACTACAGGCTCAATATCCTTAAAATTTTTAATTGATGTAATTTATACTGACTCACGCCAAGAATTTAATAATATCAAAAAAATAAAATTGATTAATAGCTTTATTATTTCTTTTGACCAACTATAGTATTACATTTATATTTATACTCACACAAACACATATCCAATGCATAAGATCCATAATTAAATTTTGTTCTTCAATATTTTAAACATCGTAAATGTGTCAAATATTAAAACACTGATTGAGTGAAACTAATTGTAACATTTTATTTTTCTTCTATAACACACGCTCCATCTATGTTCATTAATTGTTGATTTAATATTATAATTATGTTTAAAGAGTATTTTATTTGAACTTACTAATTGTATTGGCTATTGTTATACTTATTCTGCCTATTATATAATAAATTATGTTGATATTTAACACGTATTATATACATCGTTATATATTTAAGTATTTTTTAATAGATTAGATGAATTTTTTTTATATTATTTTTTTCTTCTTAATATACCCTATAAGGCTATAACTATCCATATTATTACTTCATTTTATTACCATAACTCATCTGATTTTGATGGCACATAAATTATTTATGGGCTCATACCTTTTTATACATACTTTGAGAGTTATATAAAAGAATATATTATTTTAACTTTAACTAGCTAGTAGCTGCTTAAAGTAATTTGAAGACAGACGTAGGTGTTAAATTACTTAAACTGAAAATCTTTTGTTTTGCAAAATTATTTCAACTCTGAATTATCTATAGACAAGTGATAACATACCTACCTACATGAACTATACATTTTACATGTTATTACAAATTGTAACTAAAGGCATGATCATACACTGCACAGCATATGCACGGTTTATAAACAAAGTTAAAAGGTATTTATTGAATGACACTTAATCTTTTAATCGATTAAACTTTTTGAGCACCGGACTCATTTAATTTCCTATCCTCTTGCAGTTCGGCATGAAAGTTAACCAATTGTACCTAAATCTACGTCTGTATAATTGTATAAGTTATAGGTATATTATCTAAAAGAACATTCATATGAGTATAGGTATCAATAAACCATATACATTTTCGGGCAGGAGGCAGATATACCAGTGAATATTATAACACAAACGGCGTTGTCGTCGTGGCTCGTCCCTCATCGCTCGAAAATATTTTTCCTCCGAAGCACTTCGTCAAAGTTGTCGATCCATTAACTTTTGCTCGTATACTTCCGCTACCGCCCTCCAAAAAACACACGGACTCGCGTTCCCAGCGGAATACTCCTCACGCAAACCTCTCTCTCTCTCCCTCTCTGTCTATCTATCTGCCTGTCTCTCTTTCTCTTTCTTTCTCTCTATCGCTATCCCTCTCATACGCTCGCTATCTATCTATATCTATTTATCCCTCTCACTATACCATCAGAAGCTGCAATGCTCGTATATATAGGTGTTTACGCGTGCGTGTGCCACAAGAGATGAAGGGTAGAGACTACGCCAGGGGGAGACGAGAGACCGAGTTAATGATGAAATATACATCGCGCGGGGAATGCACTACTGTGACTAACCGTACGCGTGGGGGGAGGGTGCGGCGCGCTCATAACAGTCGCGTTTGTGTGTACGCGGCCGATTACCTCATTACAAAAACGAGCACTGTTTGAGTGTATGTGTGTGGGTATAAATAATAATAATAATAATATACTCCTCGCGTAGTCGTCGTCGTCGTCGTCGTCGTAACCAATCGAAAGGGGTAAACGGTGACGACAAGGGCCAAGTATGTGTGTGTGCGTGTATGCTCAACAACGGTATTGAGAAAGAGAACGTATGTGCGTGTGTGTGTGTATAATAACAATCCAAATCAATTATTCATTCGATTGCGTTTGCCGTTTCATCCCTTTCGACCCCTCACCGCTGTAGGTACTCCCCGTAACCCGTCCC